TCCAACCCCAGCTATTCTATGATTCTATGAACACAGAATGAGGTTATTTAATCATATTTTAATAGAATTTCACTTAGAGAGATGCTCACCCATCCCAGAAACAAGCAGAATGATGAACCAGTTCATTTTAAGGATACAGAACGCTTTGCACTTCCCACAAACCATTTTAAACATTAACCAGGTAATGAAGTATCCCAAAGCCTCTCTGAAGTGAGAATGTAAATGTTAAAAATTCAGGAAAGTTTTCCTATTAACAAGAATAACTGTCCTGTGATTTTCTCTAAGAGGAAATCCCTCAACCTAGTTTATAACCTAATTCTTCTTTTTAATAGCTTCCAACCCCAGTGCAGGTCAGATACTTTTAGACACTGAACTAACCTGATATAGTAATTAGCACATTGAGTCCTTCAAGAACATCCATTTGCTGGAATCGTCTCCTAGTAATCAGTGAATACACTCTTCCTTGCCCACTTCTGTCCAGCAGCCATAATCCATTCTCTGTTCCCACCAGTAAATTGACTCCTGTTGATACATGGAAAAAAATACTGCATAAATCACCTAATGATTCAGAGGCCACTGAGTGCTCACTGTTTTGAGAACCAATTCTTAGTCTCATTTAACAGTAACTGATGATTTCTCTATTGCTCTGTGGATGACCTCCCAGAAACATGAAAAAAGGATCTCACCATTACAGTTTTTACCCAGTAGAACACTTATATGCTCATGTAACTTGAAGGATGAGTAGTTCTGCTGAAGTCAATCTTGATTTAAACAAAAAGGAAAATGCTTTGTGAACTCAAACTTCTCAAAAGCCCCAATCCAGCACCACTCCACTGGCCACACAGGAAATCCAACTAAACCACCTAAGGGTCTCTACCAAAAAAAAATAAATCCCTCTTTCTCCAATACAATACTCAAAACACAGGAGGACCAAACCTGTGGGAAGCAGGACTGCTGTTACAAGGAAGAAAAGTGTTTGTTTGAAAACAGTTTGTGTTTTGCAAGAATGCTTTCTAATGCCAAAGTAAAGGAATGAATCCAACTGCTCCCAAAGAAGCGAAGGCTTCAGTGGGTTGCTGACATCAGAGGATGTCAAAAATTGTGTTTGGCTGGTATGACAGCTATGTTTCCTAAACAGGTTCTGAAGAAATGACACGAGGTATCCTGCTGTAACAAGCAACCTCCTCTACTAGCAATGTTCTGATGCTCATAGTACTTCGTGCTCTTCAGCCTCAACATACATTCAATTACAGATCTTGACACACAGCTCTGTTCTTAATCTAAAATCTTGGACTTCTACAAACATACATTACATAAGATCTGTGAAGCTGTAAACTGGAAATCTACATTTCCTTCGTCCACTTCATTCATTTTCTATTCAAGACTCAAAAAGTGAGGAAGATTAAAAGGCTGGGTGAATCCCATAGAATACATCTGTTCTTCTGAAGTAGAAGGATGGTCAAAACAACTCAAGAGCTAGTGTGAGACTGGGACAAGGTCTATAGTTGTTGAAAATTAGTTTGACTAGACTCATCTGGGTTTTACACGGTTTAAGGCTGACCCTGTAAAAAGGGTGATCCAGTGAGGTTCTGAGTAAGCACCAACAGCTGGAACCTGAGGAAGCCAAGCTTTTGGAAAGACTGATACCAACCTGCTTCAGATTCTTGGAATACTTAACACATGTCAGCAAAAGTCTGCAGGTTTGGATTGTTTACACTGGGTCAGGGCTTAGTGTGATCAGCTGTTCTCATGTGCAGCTGAGACAGGAGTAAGTATCATGAGCCGCATAAGCTACTAAAACATTTGCAACTCTGGCTCTTCCAACAAGCACAGTTTCAATCTGGTGCCCAATCAAAACATTTTCTCATTCTGATGCACAAAATCCTTTGCAACTGTAAGTCATCTGTTCACTATCTTCTACCAGGAAGGCAGTGTCATGCGAGTTATGCAAAATCTACCCTGTGATCCACTCCAGGACTTCCTAACAGGAGAGGTGCAATACAACTGTGAAATCTGCCTGGCACACACTGTCAGCCTCTCCTGCTGCTGCCTCCCCTTCATAGGCATGCCCAAGTACTTCTGAGCTTACCCCACAAAGCAGCACAAAGGACCTCCGAGTTGAACTTCTTCTTGTATTTACGAATTTCTGGACTGTCACTCTGCGGGCGAATATTTGTTGGGTTGACATTGACAACGGAGCCCTTCCGTGCATTTTCTCTCCTGACAGGCTCAGGTTTTGCACTAGATGCTAGAATGAAAGACACATGCAATTATTAAAAATCCAAGTGTACATCTCACATTTGACCTGTTTATGGCAGGATGAATGCCTCTCATCCCTGAGAGGGATGAGAAAACACCTCAGGAGCATTTCATAGCCAGTGAAAAAAACCCCAAGCCAAACAAAACCCCATACATCTGGAAAATTCCTCAGGCATTCTTAAATAAGCACTCTGGTAACGCAGCAGCAGAGTTCTGGAGGGAGGGCAAAAGCAGTTCAATGAAAATTCACAGTGATGCAGAATTTCAGTTTCTGGAGATGTTACTGACAGTTTCCATTTCCAAGCAACATGCCGTGCCCACGCCAAAAAAGAAAAAAACAACAAACAAACAAAACTCCAGGATACTCACAAGAACTACAGGAAGGTCCTACTGGACTGGTGGGAGGGGTGATTGGCAGAAGTCTAGGATCTATGAATGAAGTAAATGATGTTGTAGAGGATGTACTGCTCTTTGAAGGTGTGCTTTCAGTGCACGGGGTCTACAATGAAAAACAAGAGCTGCTTCAGGAAGATGATGGTAGGGGAGCAGACAACACAGAGTAGTATGGTGCCTCTGAGGTTCAGAAGAAATGGCATGCGGCATAGTCAGGCATGATGAACAGTCCTAAAGCAGTAGATTAACAGTACAGATTCAGTGACAAAAGAGGAGGCCTGAGCAGGGAGTTGTGTCAGGATGCTTAGCCAGGCACAGTACTGCACTGAAATAACCAGTACCCAGAAGAAGAGCATGTCAATCAGTCCCTGCTGTCTCATCTGCAACAAAGCATTGCTCAAATCTCTTTGCTGCAAGGAGAACACTGTTGTCTCAAGTAAGGCAGTTTAGGACATGACCCCTGACAGAGCTGTTATCTGCCTCCGGTGACACACTTCTCTCCAGGAGATGCCTGTGCTCACAGCAGTGTTAAAATCCCTTTGGGGCTGCCGAGACATGGTGCACTCCTACCTGACATATGGGTGGAAGAAAGCCAGGGACAATGAGCAGAGGCAGAGTGCTGTGTTGCTGACATGACAAGTAAAGGACCAGAGGGTACAAGCCCTTCTAGCTTGTGTAAAAGGGGAGAAAAAAGGAAGGAAAGAAAAGGGAGCACAGAGAGATGGAGGCAAACAAGTGGAACAATAAAATATGTTCAGGAGCTCAAGACTTCTAATCCATCCCCTAGATAAAACTTTTAAGGAAAAGAAGGGATGTGGTGAAAAATCTCATCATAAAAAGAAATAGGATATATGAATTTAAAAGGGACTCGATCTCAGGCTCCTAAGGGCTGAAAGACAAAGATGATACAACTGATTCAATCTGTAATTTATGTCTTACCTTGTTCAGAGGTTTGTTCTGAGGTTCCTGGGTGGTCAGTGGCACTTTTGGTAGGTTCACAGAGGAGTCTGAAATCTGGCTTTGCTGAAGGAGGTCTGGCAGGAGATAGTTCTGGTTGTTTATGCTCCAGAGGCCTTCTTGGGTGCTAGAAATTTGTTTCCCTAAAATTGGTTCCTGCACATGAGAACATACAGTTAAACTCCACATTGAGCATATGTCCAATTCAACTCCTGTTCATCAGATAATAAATAATGAGCATATGGGGAGAGGGTGCTCTACATGATGCATCATATAAAGACAAACCCTATGGAAAGGTTAAATTAAAGAAAATAAATACAACAGTGTATGTCAAACACCTGAGACATCAACACTGGGTTCCACTTCTGAAGTTCTCCACAAATGTTCCCCATCTACATTACCACTACAGGTAAAGAAGCAACTTAATCCTCAGAGACACTTGAGAGAGAATTAAATTACTTGTCCTAACATTACAGATCTGACCTCTGCCTGCCACAGTCAGAGGTACTTCTTGGTTCTGGGCCTGTATTTTGTGAGAAGTCCCTTACCATTCCTTGCATTGCTACTTTCCATTTGCTGAGTTATGAAACCTTATTCTAGAATGATGACACTCAGTAGGATCCAGTATCAGCATTTCCAGTACAACGATGTTTGGTGTTGCAACCTCCTTAAAGGATCCCACCAGCTTCACAGAAATACCTGTAAGCTATGTAAGGTTGAGGCGCCGCACAAGCTGTCTCCTCAGCAGCACAAAGTACAGAGTCAGAGGTTGGTTTCTGGGAATACAAGGCCAAAAGCTTTAAGAGGAAGACAGATGGAATGTGTGAAGCAAGCGGTGTCCCAAATGGGGAGGGCAGTGATTGGTCAGGGTACCTGAACACCACTGGGGCTGGAAGACAGAGTAACAGGAGCCAAGCACTGCACTAGAAAATTGCTCCTGAATTACACTGAAGCAAAAAGCACGAAACTCAAGCAGCTTCTGGCTGGCTGAATTCAAGGCAAGTCTGTGCATTGTACTGACTCTGATAAACAGCCTCCTGAAATCAGATCGGCTTTTCTGAATGCTGGCCAAAATACTGGGGGAAAGGGGGGAAACTAGCTCATTCTAAATAAGACATTTGCCTTTTAAAAGCCAAATAATTAACTAGAAATCAAATTCATGCTCTAAGTATTTTACAATTTAATTTAGATACAAAAACCCAAACCAAAACATACATGTCTGTGTTTTAGATTAGGGAATCAAGCCAGTATGGGGCTTTTTTGTTCAGTTTTGAGTCAGATTCAGCTAAGCTGAACCAAACCCTCACTTGAGTCATTTGGGCAGTTTCGTACACACTAACCACTTCAAACCAGTTCATGCTGGTGGGCCAGGACAGGGATGCTGGAAGAAGTCATTGAGACTCATGCTGGCTGTGGCTGCTGAAACAGATATGGGGGGAATAGACAGGAGTCTCCATGAGAAGGGAGAAGACTGGAAGGCAGACATTTGTGAGGAGGGGTGGCAGTCATCTATCTGTTTCCCTCCTGCATTGTCCTCCCCAAATCCACCAGAAATTGTAGACTCCACCCTTTTCCAACCTCCCTCATCCTCAAGTCTGGGCCTCAAAGACCCCATCTTTCTCCTTTCCCTCAAGCAACATATTTCCAGTGCCCAGATATCAGAGGAAAGGGGAAGCACTGGAGTGGTTCTGCCACCAAAAAAACCCCACCAACCAACCAACCAACCAAAAAACACCACCCCCACCCCCCCAAAACAAACCAACCAACCAAGCAAAAAAACCCAAACCAAACCAAACTGGCTCATGCCCCATTTAAAATTCCTTCTCCAAAGCAGGCTCTTTTCTCCTCAAGGCTGGTGAGACAAAGGCAAAGTGGGACTCCTTCCCCAGTCAGGAAGGATGCCCCTGGTCTGAAGTTCAGAAGTCACACCAGAGGTAAAGAAAACTCCTTTTTGTTCCCAGCCCTGCCACAGCTCACAAAAGCAGCTCTGAGGAAAACACCGGTTTCACGGCAATTTATTTTCTCTATCTGTGAAATGAGAGTACACTAAATAATATGCGAGAAGTGCTCCGATGCAGAGTGCAAGTCTTATTACTACATTTTTTTTAGTTTCCAACCACAAAGAGCAATGTTCTGTTTTGTCTGTCTTCATCTCTCCTGCACTGATATTTTATTACAGGGCAAAATTCCCATGACTTAAAGTCTCTACTAGAACTACAGGTAAGAAGGAACCACAACATGACATATGAGATGACATGTGTTTTTGCTAAGCTGTAAGGGAGAGACCACGTGTTTTTCCTGTCTTCTGGTAATATTTTAAGTAGTAAGAGGTAGTTCTCTAAATTGATATCAAAAATGTCAAGATTTAAAAAAACAGCAACAATGCACACCACCAATAATCAACAGCATTGCTTTCTGCAACCTGCCCAGTGCCTTCAAGAAATATGCTGGCATCAGAAACTACTACCAGGTCAATAACGAGGAGAAGCAAAGAAGTGCAATTTCATACCTAAATGTGAGCATTTTTAGAGAAAGCACAAAACCTGAAACTACACATTTTTTTCAAGACTTATAGCTATAATTTGCAATGACAAAGCAGGACTTCAAGTGAAAATGCTGCCGAGGAGAAAAGGATACAGTGTTTATCACGCACATTAACAATCTGACTCCCCCCCCCGACTGTACCCACCCCTTTACAAATGGCCAAATTACCTTCTGTTCTCCAATGGTGCTTTGGGGTTTCAGTTCAATTCCATCTGGTACTCTTGTCCTTGAGAAATCTGCCACTTTACTGCTTAGCAGTTGCCTGGTAACAAACTCCAATTAATGAACAGAACTACTTCAGGGGGTGGGGGGCGAGAGCCACGGGGGAAGCCCCCCCCCCCCCCCCCCCCAAAGTAAAAGTACCCATGTATACACATTCAAAAGTGAGCATCATTAACATCCATTAGTTACACCTACAGGTTCTTGCAAAAAAGCAAGCTGATTAGTCTGTGGATGTGCCTGAATGGACTTGAGCTCAGAAGACCACTCACACAGAGCAGGAAACTCTCCTCACCTCAATGGAGAGCATCCCTTCTTGCCCCTGCATTTCATCCACCATTTTTCAGGCACTGCCTAGCTCAGGCAAGTGAGAGCTGGTCCCTCAAGCTGTCGTTTGAGAAGTGTCTACCTCAAAACTTCTGTCTCCCCTCAGACACTACCCTGTGAGGTGCAATTACAAGCCGCCCTGCCCTCCAGAGACAGAGCACCAGCTGCACTTGCAAGGGGTAGAGCCACTGCTCTGCTATATGCTGATGTCAGGGACCTCTCTGCCAGTGCCTATTGGGACAGGCTATACACTGGAATTTCATACTGTGAGTCAATTCCCAAAACATGGACATCCTCACCTTACATACAAAAGAAACAAAATGTTGCCCAGTGCATACAGAGACAGAAGAACCTAATTGCTGCTGGACTGGCTGGGGCCGAAAGCCCACCTACCCCAGTATTCTGCCTTCAAGAGTGACCAAAAGCACATACCTAAAGAAAGAGTAAGAAGACGGCAAGCATCTGTTGTGATATACCCCAGCATAGTATTACTTCCTATACAACCAGTGGTATCTTTGCATTTTAAACTTTTTCACCCAAGTGAAACTACCTCAAACTTCCATCAGTAAGGCTCTGGCTCCATTTCTGTGTGTTTCTACCCCATATTATTTATTTATTCCACTTATGTATTTATATCCATTTATTTATTACTGCAATTCATTTAAGCCTATTACATTTCTGTCTCCTTTCCAGTAATTATAAAACTGACTTGATTCAGGATGCTGGCGTGAATGGGTCATGTGCCAACTGGTAGAACAGCGCAAAGATTTGTTTCGTTTTATTTCTTTGGTTTGGGTGGTTTCTTGTTTGTTTTTTTGACGGGTTTTGGTTTTTTTTGTTGTTGTTTGGTTGGTTGGTTTCTTTTTTGGTTTTTGGTTTTTTATGTATGTGTGTGTGTTCTGCTTGGGTTTTTTTTCTTTTAGTGTTGCCCAATGCAATAATAAAGGAGGTCTGGCAGAGAACTATCAACTTAAGATGGTTGTGACAGAGTACAAGGTTTTGTGGACCGTTTTTATTCTTTATTTTTTGGTTTTGGCTCATGTCCCCCCTTCTATGGGAGGAGATGCAAATAATACATGCAGATTCACAAAGGCAGTGATACCACTCCTTCAAATCATTACAGCATGCAAGGATCACAGCAATCTAACACACAGCAAATTCATTGCTACAGGGCAAACCCATACTTTGATGTAGAGTCTTTCTGAGGTCTAGGGTGAATTCTATGACCTAGAGTGAATGAAACTTTTTACAGATCAGAGTAAGGTGGTTTGGAAGAGGAGCAGTAAGAAAATAAAGGCAATACAGTAAAAAGACAGCTCCCTCCTCATCCCTCAGCTTTGAAAATGAACTTCAGAAATGCAGATCAGGGTATGCAGGCACAAAAACTCTGCCTTTTCAGAGCAGCACAGGGGAAAGGACTGGTACCAGGCCAGTGCAATAGCTCTCCAATAGTGCTAAAAATCTGTGCATCTCTTCCTAAAGACGGACAAAATTGCATGTGCAATCATGCCAGAAGAGCAAGAGCCCCACTAAAGAGAGATCTGTGGCCTGCGATGCACTTCAAAGTAAATCCTAGAACTTGAATTAAACTGAAGTCTCTTTGCAAGAAAATTAGAGGTTTCATTCACCAATACCAAAAAATAATTCTGTTTGCTGTTCCAAACAGCAGGGCTGGCCAACCGATCCCCGACTCCTTCACTTGGACCAGTGAGCTATTCACACTCCATTATTTCTCAGCAGAACACAAGTTTTGCATGACAGATAAAACACCACAAGATGTCAGTTGCAAGGTCAACAAGAGTAACTGTAAATGTAGAGAAAACCAGCCCTGGTGAAGGAATCAGCTTTTCAGTGGTAATTATTTCTCCCAGAGTGAACAGACTACCCACATACAAGGGTTATGTTTGTCTTGCTTTTTTCACTGTTACCCATGTTTAGCATGAAGGTGTACAGTTTTCCTTCCCTCTCCTTTTTTTTTTCAAAAATTCATTAACCATAGATCAATGTGAAGTAATCCCTACAAAAGCACTACCTATTGACACTCAGTTAAAACGAGACATTTCCTCATTGTCCCAGAGCAGCAAGTCATCAAAGCTTATTACACTGCATACATCTGATGGAGCAAACATTTACCCCGGGGAGTTCATTACAGTGCAATTAAACTGCTTAATTACAACTGACATAAATGATTGATATTAACTTCACAGGGAGGTAGAATGTATGTATGCCAGGTTCTTCCAGGTATTTAGAAATGTGTAATACAAAGGAAGAGAATAATAATTAAAAAAAAGACATCAAGCAAACCTTGTGTGGTTCATGTCATCCTCATCGCTGCTGCTGACTTCATCACTTGATGAAGAATAGTCTGCTGCTTTTAAGAATGAGTTGGCACTGTCCTTCACCTTGGCAAAGGAGGCTGGACTCTGCGTAAAGAAAACTCAGTTGAATTTTTTTCTCATGGAAGAGCTCATTGCTAAACAGCATGTGCAGTATTTTATTGCCCCAGATATAATTATTGTCACTTCCACACCAAAAAAGCCTTATTAGAAAGTTGGTGCTTTTGTTGGTCCATCACAAGTGGGTGTTTCACACAGGAATAAAACAGACGATTTTCCCAAAAGTTGAAAGGTGACTAACTTTAGTCAGTGTGTTATTTTGCATCTCAAACATTTATGATCCAATCTCTGCACTTCGCAGGAGCACAGAAGCACTTCCTTTCTCGCACAAGAAAAGGAGTGCTCTGCACCAGGACTGGAGGATTACACCAGCTTGAGTTTTGTTCAGCCCTGGACTACCTTGAAGCTTGTGGGTCCATGCCTGAGCCCAGGCTGTGCTTGCACAGATGAGCTTTAGGCTGGAAAGGCAACATCATCACATCCATGGCTCACACCCAGAGGGTAGTTAGACACCCCAGTCCTACAGGAATCCATATATAGGCCTCCCACACTATTGGCAACGGCTTAAGCTCAGAGCCTTCTTCAGACCTCCAGTCCCTGACAAGCCAGGAGGAGTTGGGGACCCCAGTAAGCCACAGCTGTCCCTTGCTGCCCCACTTTGCATCCCCTGGAGCCACCCAAGCCTGTCTGTGAAGTTTTAGAATGCCAAGCACCCCATGTGTGAGCTTGAACATCCTAATTATGAGCACTTGCACAAGGCACCATGAGCTCCAACATCCTAATTATGAGCTCTTGCACAAGGCACCATGAGCTCTGGTTGTGCAATAGGCATCTCCCCCTCTCCACCCCAAACACCATCAAAGATAAGAAATGCCTCAGTAAATAAGAAAGAGAAATAGCAGTCATTCCTTTTCATCAGCAAACAGACCCAGGACAATCTTGAGTGTGTCACAAACTGGCAACACATATTCCAGGCACTTACACACTGAATATTTGCACGAGCCACTGGCATGGTCTTGACTTCTGGGTTGCATGACAATTGATCAATGACCTCCTGAAATATTAAAGGCACACCCTTCCCTTCTAAAGATTTATGATCAGACAAGTTCAGGAAAAGTGAACTCTGATGATGACCTGAGCTGGACACAAGTCAGATATGGACATGTTAACGCAACAGTAAGCTTGAGCCAGTCCCATGCAGCCTCTCAGGTGGCCTCATTAGCGAGCAAACTCCAGCAGCAACAGAGGACCTGTCAGCACAGACATACCCTCACTGAAAATGATGAGCAAAAATATCAATGGATTTAAAAGAACCTACTGCAACATGGCCTGGGTGAGAAACTTTTTCAGACTTCTTTTGCAGCTGCAGATGGTTCTGGGACAAAGCGTTCTCTGCCTTGGCCAGTCCTAAATTCCCTGGGAAAAAAGGAAAACACTTATTTCTTTCAATGCATGTGCAGCAGGGTGAGAGAGGGGACCAGTAAGACAAGCACATACAGTTACCACCCAAACCAGACACCAGCCTCTGCTGGCAAACTTCTTTGTCATGAAGGGAAATCTTTTTGCTTGTTTCCCTGTGGTTCTGGATGCCACAGTATGATGAATATGTATTGATACTGATGCAGTTTAATGCTGCAAGGGCAGGACAAGCATATCAAAACCTTGGCAACATACTTCCAATGAGCACCAGTTCCATGGACTGGAAGGCAAGGCAAAAGAGTGAAGACATGTTAAATCCCTTCCTCTGATCCTCTTTCTGAGGGGAGCCAGCTCATCATATTAGCAATGGCTACTCATATTCCAGCACTAAAGATGACTGCAGACAGGGGCGTCAGGGAGAGAGTACAGGAGCCTGGGCCCCCACTACACATACTCATGAGTAAACAGATGTGCTGCTGAGATTCGGCCTTCATAAAACTGCTGCACAAAACCAGCCTGATTCTCTAAACCCAAATGGGCTGAGGGCAAACAGCTGCATTAGACTCCACTCATGAGCACGGGGTCAAGCTAAAAGCAGAAGAGGATTCATCACTTCCCATGGCAACACAGGGAGAACCATCTTCCAGTCCCTGCTTCCCCTGAGGCACACAGCATCACTTCTCAGCTCCCACTTCCACTCTGCCTGTGGGGACGTAGGTAACAACAATCCTCATCTGCAGAGAGCTGCCCTCACTGTGAGCCAACTCAGTGTCAGTTGGCACCTTGTGACACTGTTCCCAGGGTCAGGTACTGGTAGAAAGGAAGCTGTGGCAGTACATTTCCCTCCCCATTGGCACGGAGACCTACACTTGCCACCATGCTTGGACAGCTACTGAACACTCAAGCAAATAAGATTAGAAGAGTTGGAGTCCACCTGCATGTGCTGATACCATGTTAGGAAGGATGCTTGCAAGTAATGAAGCAAATCTTGCTTTTCAATGTCCCCACTGCCCACAGAGCTACCTGGGAAGAGCAAAAGTTGCCTTGGAGAGATACTGTCTCCTGCACACAATTCCTGATACAAGCAGATGTACCCTCACCCTGCCAGTGGGACACACTAGCCAGCTCAAAGTCTATTTTTGTTCAGCAACTTCTCCTTTCCCATGGCCACCAACAGGAATCCTTGCAAGTTAAGGAGGAAGAACTGAAGCTCACACAAATTTGGATTTCTATTTGGTAATTTAGATAGGTTTATCACAATGGCTTCATGAACCCATGCATTTTTCTAAGTTTTTAAACTTTAGAACTCGTTATTGGTGAATGAGTACCTAAGCAACTCAGCAGAAGTATTAGTTTTAAAGTATTTATAGGCCTTTCCAGCCCAATTCATTATCCCTGCGGGTCTGGGAAAGCAACAAACTCTTTCTGGAACACCATATGCCAGAACTAACTGTAATTTAATGACACTTAAGAACCCAAGGAGACAGTTTAAACCACAGGGGAGGTTTTCTATTTTTTCCATTGCTGGAGAGGTTTTCATTTCCCCATGCCAAAATAGCACAGGAGTTGCACATCATGCAGACACTGCAAAGTTGAGCTGGGCTGTTGCACATTGTTCATCTCTTATTCAAACACAAAATGACATAAGAGCAAAAAGAAACAAAACCCAAGCAGTTTAAATTGTGTTTTGGGTTTCTCTTGAAGCAAAGCTTCCTATTCTGTGTAGTTACTGAAAGCAAAACTGACTCAATTGTGTAAGATGTAATAAAAAAGCAATTTGTTCTTCATTTATCAAGGGCTTGTAAATTAACAATGTAAACCTCAGTTTAAAAATAAATTACCTCAGCAGCTCACTAGTGTGGTTTCAGAACATTTTTAGCATCCACCCTGCTCTGAATTAGATATGATTCCCCATGTCCCCCATCTTTAACAGTCAAGCTAGAGCCAAAGCATTGCAACACGCCACTGTGCTTGCAAGGAGCTATGAAAGAAATTGCCCTACAGTTGACCCACAGAAAACACCCTTACGAGTAACAACAGAAGAACAAAGCTGTCCACTTTCGCTCCATGTCCCCATCTGCCACAATCTCTCAGGAACCACTGTCTGCACTGCAAAAAATCTGCACAACCATGAGCAAGCCCACTTTGTTCCTACACCACTACCAGTGATACCAAGAAAGCGTACAGTGTTGCGTTTTTCTTCTATTTGATGAGGGTATCTCTACCTTTTAACTTCTTTTGTCTTTTTTTTTAGTTCTACTATCATTCTGCAAATAAAAGATTGTTGGAGGAATGTATCATAAAGTGCTGTGCAGTCTCACACTTCCTTCAGCCAGTACATTATTAGAGTACAGAAATATTAGTGTACATAAACTGCTCATCTGTATCATCCTATCAGTGGGCAACGCAAAAAAGCAGCATATGGTTATGCAGAAAATGCCAGTGGGTGAAGCCTAGTACTGGCATACATCTGTAATGTTGGCTCTCCTGAGTTCCAGTGGTGCCAGTAAGTCGAACAGAACTGATATTTTTCAATTCTTGATTGAGGCAATTCAAATTTTCTATATGGAAATATGTTCACTGTTATTTTTTGACTCAAAAGAGGAAGTATTTATGTTTTAAGAACATGGAACCATAAAATCCAGAGGGTTTTCAAAAGCCCACCACCAGAAGACACTGTTAAGAAAAATAACCCATTTGTAATGCGGCACTTGACAACCTGCTGAAGCCTGTTTCATCTGATAGAAATTTTGCACATTTAGACTGATGGATTTTTGACTTAGAAGTCACCTGAGGTTGACCAGCTGCTCTGATGAGATCCCATCTCCCACTGCTTGTTGCCAGGAGTGCTGCTGCTGCTGTTTAGCTTCAGAGCATGTCCCCCTGGGGACGACTGATGAGTGTTACTAAACAGAAAGACAAAAAGCAGGTGAGACTACCTTGCATGCACGAACACAGACTAGAATGGACCTCCTAAGCCACTGAGTTGAGTTCCCTGCTTCTACTGCATGGTATAGTACTCCCGATAAACAAAAATTTTATATTCATTGCTGCTCCAAGCAGGGCCACCTGAGAGAAGATGATGGAGGGAACAATTTCCTCTGGGCAGTCATTCTGGGAGATTACAGAGATTCCTAAGAGATTACAAAATACCCTACTATACGTACTTCTCCCTTGGCCTATTCAGATTTGTGTCACTCCTGATTCTAAGATCTCATGGTTTTACAAATAATGAAACATGCTCCAGTACTCTCCTACAAGATATATCATCATCCACTTATCAATGGAGAAAGGAATGCATTGGACAGTAAAACAAGCTGCCAAGCCAGTGGCAGAAAACCAGGCTCAAAGCCACTCACTTGTAACACTGTGGTTTACTTGCATAGTTCTTTTCTGCTTTGCCTCACATAATTCCTAAGTAGAGAGCATTTAGGGCTTGACTTCACTTGAAAATTACTTCAGATGTTTCTGACTCTGGCTCATCAGAAGCACTACACATTATTTTGTTATGTCAGCTACATCTACTTCACTTTCAAATCTCTCCAACCCTAGTTTCTCACAGCAATATGTTCCCTCAGTAGACATCCAGTGGGGACTACCCTTTATTGCTGAGCTCTCTGCACCCTTGGTATTTTCTCATGGGTATGAAAAGTCTGCTTTAAGGGCAGACTGCCAAAATAGTGAAGATACATCTAGAGACAGCTTGTTCAAGCTACTACCAGGTAAAACAAAGCTGCAAGTTTCACTAGCTGAGAGTGCCTATACAGGGAGTTGGCGCCAGACCTACCTGCTGAAGTATCCAGGCATCTAACTCCCTTTTGAAACCAATGGCACTGGTGCAGGTGTAGAGCATCTGCAGGAGCATCCAGGCAGCCCTGACCAGCACCACTCCCACCTGCTATCTCCTGTGTCTAGGCTACGATCTCAAGTATCCTGCACCTTCAGCAGCCACTTACTCTAATGTGGAGGGTAAGTAAAGCATCACCAGATCACAAGTTCAATGAATGCCCAACACACTGCCCATTAACTAGGAAATGGATACACAACTTTCATCCAACACGCTCAGGGATGCCAAACAGGCTGAGCCAAATGAAATATCTCATTGCAAGAATTATCATAGATGGAACAGCTCTCATATATTAAAAATACTGCTTTCCAGCAGATGACAGAACTAACTAGAATGTAAAGGAAATGAGATCTACAAGAATTTTGTTTCTCTTTACATCAGTTATGTCAATCATTAAAAGGAAGCTGGCTTATACACTTCCTTCAGGTTTAAGATCACAAAGTTTGTTTAGTTATTTTTGTGAACAAACTGACACACAAGACAAAATATTTTTAACTGCTATTAAATGAGGTATGAACCCATGTCAGTTTTTCTATCACTGAGGTTATGGCTTAATTTTTAATTAATTCGCTTTTCCTACTGTCAGTAAATCAGCATTAGTATAAGCATAAAATACTGAAGACCTTACCTTGAAAGACATCTTTGATGGCCAGGCTGGTCCCTGCTGTAAAATTTAGAGGTTGTCCTTTCTGGAACCTTAAGGATTTAATAAAACGTTTTAAGGTTGCTACTGATATTTCACACTCAGTTAATAAACCTAATGCTTACCCTATACCAATGCAAAAATAAGACTAATGAACATAAATAAATTATGCTTCAGTGGGACCTGTGGAGAGGTCTTCCATGATATCAACACTGGAAGCTGCAAGTCAGCAGTAGGTGCTTCTAATTTGCTCCAAGCCTGTGCAATCTGTCAGGGTGCACACTGCAAGAGGTTTGCACCTTTCCTTAGAGTCAGCATTATTCTTGCTCAATATTTAAAGCAGACAAGGAAATGCACCTGCAGTCATTTAATTCAGCTTTCTCTAGGTGGTGAATTACCAGTGTTGCTATCAAAGGGCTGGAGGAAGAGACACACGCAAACATCCCCCAGCTGCTAAGTAACAAAATGAATACACACACACACATGCACATACACATCCCCACACAAATATGCTTGTACTTGTTCTTAGTAGTTCTGTTAAAAAGAGAAATACCCCAACACCTGAACTATACAGACTGACGAGCTTTTCTGCAACAAGCCAGATTTTTCACAGAGACAGGTACAAATACGTGGTCTAACAAAAGAGGTGTATCTGCACTTGCAGATCCTGCTGATATTACATACATACACATAAACTCAAGACATTGGCCTGCTTATAAATCCCTAACCTTCCTAGATTACTGAGACTGAGTTAATATACCAGCAATGAGATTTTTACTGAGTTTCATAAAGTCCAAAGGATGGATCCTACACAGCGCAGGGGAACTGAGTGGAGTGCTATTAACCACTAACAGTGCCAAACACCCAGAGTTTCACATACCTTTGGGGGCTGTTCTTCATTTTGACTGATGCTCCAGAATACATCATCCTGCACAGGGCTGAGTGGTGTCGTCACCATATCTGACAGTGAACTGCTGTGGTACACATCCTTACTAGCCTGGAAATTTTCACACTTGAAACAAACGAAACACATGTTGCCTGTGTTTAAAAGGTATCTTCAAAGACATCAAATTAGAGTATTAGGATAGCAAGTGCCCTAATCACAGTGAGGGTGAGGCGAGGAGGCAAGAAAAAAATCAAATCACTTCCTTACAAAGTCTTCATGCCAAGGGAACAAGCAGCAACCAGTGTTAAAACTGAAGCTAAAATACTTAACATTGGTCCTCTGATTCTTTCTGTATTCAAAGGAAGAAAGAAAAAAAAAAAGGAAGGAAAGATCCCTTGAATTCTACACACTAATGATCTATTACACTGGCATCTCTCAAAGGGGAAGAAAGGCAGAGAGCAAAAAATGTCAACTGAATGTACTGATCCTCCCTGAGATGAGAAATCCTTTGGACACAAGACTGAGACTGAACACACAGGAAAGCTGTGTGAGCTGGGCCCACCTTGAAGGATTCCTACGCTAGAACCAATTGGATGTTACAGAAATTAAAAAGTATTAGAGAAATGCCTGAAGCTCTGCCACTTTGTGCTTTATCTTGTCAGACCTCCCATGTAAAGGAGCTCTCTGGGAGGCACCTTTCAAACACATGGCAAGACCACCATCCCCACCACTTGCAAGCCTAAGAAAGAGGCTAGCAATTTTTGTCCAAGTTAAAGTTCAATCTCTTATGCCCTGGTTGACTTCCTGCAACTCAGATCAGAGGCAGATGCAGTTCAGTTTTGCCAAAGAACAACTCAAATTGACTTATCGGCTCAAGTCTATAAAATTCTCCAGTTCTCCAGTCTTAAAAACTGAAACACAGTAACTGAGAACTGCACACAACTTTTCAATAATATAATATGATTATGAACTCCCTATGGCTCTAGAAAACTAATTACTTAATGCGAACAATGTTCAAAATCACCTAAATATTGACAGGTAGTAACTCTGAAACTAGTTAAAAGATGCCAAACATCCATTCAAACATCCCACCACAACCTCCCAGACCAGCATGGCAAAGTCAGCTGTCAAAAAACAGTCCTGAGAAGTTCACCTAGTTAAATATTCAAGTGCTTTTTCTGCCTTTTGGTGACAATATGCTGTGTTGACACCCCTTACAGAAAATAGCTTTTTCAGCAGTTATAACATCTCATAATCCAGGTCCTTTCATTGTGTCAAAACTATTTTTCTTGTCCAACATGATTGTCACTAATAACAGTTTTTAGTTAACCAGAATTATTTCAACAGTGAAGTGTTCCCCTGAAACAATTCATCGTGGGTATACAAATGGGTTTTATAGCAAGTGTATTATTATCAGAATATAGGAATTTTTCTTCCTTCCCACTTTTTCACTAAGATACTTACATTTCTTCCTAAATTCCAATTTTTCAGTCCTGCAGACTACCAGAAAAACGTTTGTGCTTAAAAGCATGGACAAGCTTTGTTGAATCATGATACAAGAGTCTGTGTGAATTCCAACTCTGGAGATAGTACCCACATACCTTCTTTGGGCAGAGAGAGACCAGTACACTGGTTCCATGTGAAGCCAAGAAGTGACATCTGCTTTTGGGATGATTTCTGTAGGACCTACAGGTCTTTGCAATTCCACAGCAAGCCAAAACCACCTCAGATAACCCCCAAAACCATAGTGTTTCATATTCCCCTTAAGTTTTACAGATAAAATAATTGGGGGGGAGAGGAGGTAGGTATTAAAAAAAAAACAACAAAAAAACACCAAACCCTAACAACGATTCAAAACTACTGAGTCTTGAGGCTTAAATTGTTTGTATTACTGAGAGAACAGCAGCTTCTCTCATGAACAGAAAGCACTGGCAGACAAAGCGTTCCCTACTATGTGTCTTCAAATCACAAAGGCACACCTAACAGGGCTAAAGAAAAGGACTCTCTGCTCCCTGAAATTATAACACAAGGTGACATAGTACAAAAGACTGATTACTAGAGTTAGTTTAAAGAGATTTAGGAGCAAAAAGTTTCTAAAAGACTGCATTGCTTTTTAGAGGACATCTAAGTTACTAATTTGAACTGAATCTTTATTTGAACTGAGTCTACATACAAGGGGGGATGTAAGTGCAACTGTTATTACAAAATAGCACAAGAAAAAGGATTTTCTAAAACTTATCAGCAGATCTGCTCTGAGATACTGGGTCAATCCATGACACATAGATAGGCACAGCTAGTTCTTCTAATATTGTTAGCTTTCTGTTTCAACCACATTACTCCAGACAATAGAGATCTAGCTAGCAAATCCTACAGGAAAGCCACAGAGTCAATAAAAAATGGAGTTCATTTCAAATATGAGATAAATTCCTCCACTAACTCAGGTGTGATATTCTGCAGATAGTCCAGAACAGCTCATCCCACACCACCACAGAGAGCCAGATCTGCTACCGTGCTGCAGCAAACACAAGACAAGTAGAAATGGTACACTCTGATCTGGTAATACACCTTTTTTCCCTTACCAGACAGATAGGACACAAGACACTGAGAAATCATGCTCCCTGCACCTCAGGGCCTGCGTTAAGATTTCCAGTGAAAACATTTTAAAAGACAGTTTGGCAGTGCAATCACTTCAAATAAGTCACTTTTGTCTGAGCGGAGCAGTGATGACAGATGATCCTTCTCAGACAAACCTGGCTGGAAGTTCTTCAGCACAAACACCTGTGATGAATTCAGCTTGCATTTTAGCTCTGCAGTTCACTTTTATTTTAAATCGATAAGGCACACACACGTATTGAACTTCACAAGTGTATTGGTGTGAGTCTTTTAATCTCCAGGTGACTAACTGGCCCATCACTCGTTGCCTTCACACTTCATACAGTTAATGCAGGCAGCATATCCAAACATGCCGCTATTCACATCAACAGCTGCTGCCAACCAGCAAAAGAAAACATAACCCTTCAGAGGATTTACAAGCTACCCATTAAGTTCATCTGGTCTCCATGCTAACACAGCAGGTGAGAGTACAGACTGACTTCTGCCTGTCTCCATGGTCTCTATCAGTTGAAGCACTGACTTGTGAGTGGGTATCACGGCAGCTACCAGCAGGGAGTGAAATCACATGGTAACAGCTATATATCACTTGCTGCTATTATCCTTAAGTAACACCATCACTTTAAACATCATAAAATTTTTATAGTGTAGTTTCCATCACGCAATGTGAAAGAGATTGGTAAATACTGCTTCATTCTTCACTCCCCTTGGCAGCTGGGAGAGGTACTACCCAAACAGAGTAGCACTGACAGGGTGCAAAGTAATGCAGTGACTTGTCCTATGTGATGCAGCCAGCCTAGAATGTAGCTCCTTTCATCCCAAGAGTATCATTTTAACAGGGCAGGATTATCCTCTGTGCAGCCACTGTGTTTCTACAGAAACCCAAATGCCCTGCAATAAACTATGGACTCTCCCACTACTATTGCAGGGCTGAAATATTTGCCTTACGGAAGCTGCCAGCCTCTACCAAAGGTTAGGATTCAAACATCCTTCTTGTAGACCTTGCAACAGCTCTCCAGTGATTTGATGCTACAAGCCAGGCCATCAACTCAGCCCAGCTACAATACTCATGACATGAAACAACAAACAGGCCCTGTAAAAAAGGATGTGAAAAGATACACAAATATCTTCCCAGGTCAAAGCTATCAGGTGAAATGGGGCCTTTCTTCTCCCAACAGTTGTCTATGGTGATTTTTGCATCATCACCAAAAAGCAACCTGAACAGGAATGGCACAGGGGACCTTTGACTTAAAGATGCTAATTGCCATCTATTAATAGGACCTGTAGTGATAGGACAAGGGGTGATGATTTTAAACTAAAAGAGGGTAGATTAAGACTAGATATAAGGAAGAGATTTTTTACAATGAGGGTGATGAAACACTGGAAAAGATTGCCCAAAGAGGTAGAAGATTATCCAGGGGTTGCAATGGCACGGTCATTTAGGCTTTCTCTGAAACATCTAGGAGTAATACCATAGAATCAGTAATCACGCATCAAGTATTTAAAAATAACTGTTATCTAATCCTGATCTGCAGTGTCTTAAGTATAATTCCACACAGAACTTACCAGCACAGGGTGGCACTGAAACCTCTGAGCTGGTTTGCACAGGCGTCAGTCATTTGTGCCAGGAGCAAAGGGAATCAGGTTTTAGATGCATTGTTCTGCTTAGGAACCACCCATGGTTTCTCCTGCCCATTCGGGGCAGCAGTACCGTACCTGTACTAACATGGCCCTCTGTGGAGCGGGGGTGCACGGGCTGGAGCTGCTGCCAGATCCCATCCTGGTGTGTGGTGTGGCTTCGTGCCCCAGCACTGCTGGCCACTGGAGGGAAGGCTGGATGTCGTCACTTAGCTTTTTTCGGTCCTCAGCCTGAAAAGGAGAAAAGTAGCAGCATGTTGCACACTGAGCCTCATGCTTTGGAGCCTGGATGTTCTCCATCAGCAGCACAGTGCACATCATCTCTGGTGGACCTCCCCCATGGGGGAGAAGTCAGCCCTGGCACAATATGAACCATTACTGCATCTCCATCTGTAACCTTTCCTTTTCCATCAAGTTTCCAAACTGCATCAAGGAAAAGGGCCCAAGTTGCCATCTGCTGTGTTCTAGGCCATCCCCTTGGCTGCAGGCTGGGATTTTAGCTGGGAGGAATCATCTGTCTGTATTTACTTACCTTTGACAACACAGTCTGTTTTGCCATGCATTTATTATCCCTTTCACAACATTGACATTACTGCATGTTCCTTTCCACTTTAAATACTTTTAACACTTTCTTTTGGTATGTTACTTACACTATGGAAAAGACTGTACAAAAGGATCTAGAAGGAATAAAGGTCCTTTTATTTCCTGAGAGCATTGCTCATTACAAAGATCTTTATCCTATGGTTTTGACTCCACTACTCTTTCCACTTTCAACATGACTCGTTCTCTAGTGTAAATCTTTAGCATATCCTCTGATTCAGCAGCCTAGAAACAGCTTTACACAGTAAAGATTAATGCCATAAACCCCCCTAGTTGTCTATGTTTGGGTGGGTGTTCTGAACGGTGTCTCACTGTATCTGGATGTTTGTGCTGGTGTCAGGTAGGTAAGCATATTCTTAACACAGCCTTAGGAAACTGCCGACAAGATGGAAAACTATTCCCCTTAGCCTCACAGATCTCAATTGAAGAAGAAAAAAAAAAAAAGAACATTAAAAAACAAAATAAAAATTAAAAAATAAAAAACAACACAGAAAAAAAACCTTATTAAAACAAGCAGCCACAGCCAAATACCATGAAACTCTAGCTCCAGTGAACTTGATTGTTATACTGCTCTTGAGGCAAGAGTTTCATTACTTGCAACTCCTAATAATGAAAGGCAAATTTTACCTTAAGCAAGAAAGAAAATGTAAAAGCCAGATATGATGATTCACCTACCACCTCTGTGCCCAAAGGGTGTTTGCATGCAATGTATTATGATCGAGACGCAAACTCATGCAGATGACAATTTGAGCACCTAGAACCGATGCCGGCCCCTGTGCAGGTACTGAGCTAGTGCAGTGTCAGCCCCAAGCTAGGAGTCCTTGCCTCTCCCCTCATTAGCTCTGGTACTGGTGGGACCGGATACAGCACAGAGTGAGCTCGCATCTGCACACAGCAGGGGAAACCCCCTGACCGCCTGCGACAGGGCGAGTGCAATGGCAAAGACAAGGAATGCCCAAAAAAAGGTCTGCAGCCCCAAACATCAAACTTGAGGCTTTGGAGGGATCTGGTTTTTGTTTGTTTGTTTGTGTTTTAATGCCTCAGTGCAACAGTAATTCTGAAGACTTTTGTGTATCAACAACTGGCCCTGCAAATGCCACTGAGCACTAAAACAATACACAAATAAATTCACTCTTGAGCAGGCTATCTCTATTCCTGTGAAGACCTCTCCCAACAGAGAATCTAATGTCTCCTTGGCTAAGAAACTTGGGAAAGATCAGTATCGACAAGAACAAATTCACTGTTAAAAACAGACAAAACTTTAAAGCATTTTTACATTATTGTGAACAATTACTACTGTTGACATAATTATGAAGTTTCAAACTTCAGCCAAAAAGTGCAACCCTGTACCACTAATTATGATTTTAGTGGTAAAGAGCTGTGACTTTCAAGAAATTCTGAGATTAAATAAGCAATATTGTAAAATAATTTGTCCTATACTAGAGTATATTGTGGTAGCCATAACGACAAGAGCCTCATGCTGTGAACCTAAAAGGCAGGCAGCAATTCATCTGCAACTAGTGAATTAATTTCACCACCAAATTAAAAGTTCACAGTGACTGCACACTAAATTCCACAACACATTTCATTCTGCTGCAAAGGGGTCACTTACAAAACACATGCCAAAACCAGAAGTGAGTATTTAAGCTGACATTCTGCAATTCTTTTGACTTCTAACTACAATGAAGTAGAAAAGAAAGTTAAATTAACTCAACTAAGTTACATTTTCTCTCCACCTGCTGAGAAGCGTAGCAAAGGCAAAGCATTTCTATAGACTTTGATGTTGTGCATTTATCAAAAGCAGCTTTTTCTCTGTCCGCACCCAATTTAGTCCTCAGATGGAGGAAGACCCAGTCCTCCACCATCAAACAAATACTGATTTCAAGAGGAGTTCATTCAAATTTCAGTAACAAAATGTTCATCACAGCCTGACAGTGGGCCACAGAGATCTGTGCTCTGAAGGCATGACAACATTTTGTGCCTGGGTCAATTCTGTGAACCCTACATCTACATCTTTTACTGACATCAGGAAAAGACATCCATTAAACCTCTGTTACTATTACCTTAATTCATTTCTCTTTGGAATACAAGGGAATGACACCTGGTTGACCAGAAGATTCACCAGTCAAACCCTTCTCTGAACTCAAAAAGTTATTGTGCAACCTTTCCTTTCCCTTACCCCCTACATTAACGGGTTCCAGAAGCTTTATGCTAGCTTCTAGTATACGATACAACAGAGGTCAAGCTCCAGATATGGGTTTAAAGATCAGTCAGAGAACACTCTGCTTCAGCATTACCAAAGCATCATAAATTGCAAAGCATCTAAACTATATATTAACCAAGCTGCTACCTCTTTGCTTGTGCTGCTTGATGGAGGATGCACTGCTGAATTTGAGTTCTTGGAAGGCTCCTTCTTCTGCTTGTGGTCATGCTGGAGAGACAGCAGCTGTGTCTGATCTTTGGGGAGAGTTCGATGCACCCTCCTGTTGTGCTGCACACCTTCAACCTTCTGAAGGCAAATAGTGATGAACCTCAGTGAGAGTCATGCCTTGGAGGACAACCAAGTTGACTGCTGCAAATACTGGCTTTTCAAAGAACAAAGCAAACACAATTCCAGCAGAGCTGACAGAAGAGATACAACCCTGAGCGACAGGAAGCGTAAAGTGACCCCAATTGCTCCACATTAGACTTCAGAGACAGCACATCAGGAAAAAATTTTTTTTTACCTTTCATAAAACCAGAGGACTTGAATCAAAACTCCATACTTCTGTTTGATTACAGCTCAGTTTGCTGCTAAAACAGTAGAATAATATTGTGGCCAAGGTGCCAGACCTGACAATGAAGTTGAGCATTAAAATTGACCTCTGCTCCATTTTTATTTGTGAAAAAGAAACAACCAGAACAGAAACTGGAGATCTAAGCTTAGGCTGAGCTGATGTTGGAAGCCTTCAGGGTAAAGATATTTTAAATCAGATGGAAGGGAACACAGACCATTTCAGCACAGAAACTGCAGTGACAGAAGTGGGAGAGGCAGTGTCATTGCTGTAGATAAGGATGACTCAGTAACAATGTAACCCGAAAGAAGGTTGAATTTGAGAACGAAAGGCAGTAAATTCATTAAAAAAGGCCCTCTCTGGTCTGTGACCCGGAGAATGAGAACACCCTCAGGGAACCAAACAACACATCAGGTACAAGAGGAAGCTGTGAATTTCTGTTGCTAAACGTTTTTCATACCTGCTTCTTTTCTGATTTCCTCTGTCCATCTACTATGAACCGTTCATCTTCCACAGCCCTTTTGTCTTCTTTACACCTCTCCTCTTTCCTCTGAATGGCCTTAGCCTCTGGCCACCTCTGCTCACACTCCTGCTGCCTTCGTAGCTCCTGCTCTCGTCTCTGATGCTGGAAGAGAGCCAGGGAACAACATTGCTTATTTTACTTTACCTTCATACCCACCAATTACTCATGCCAGTGTTCATTAATCACAAGGCTATTTTCCTGCTATGCAGTCACTAATATGGGATACCTGATACAGTGTGCAGCAGAAGCAGCCAGTCACAAGCTGACACCACCTTGACTGCCAAACTTGAAGTGAAACCTTTGCCCTTTTGGTAGCCAAGGGCAGATATGCCATTCATTTAGGCAGGCATGCAAGATCTGTGTGATGGCTGGCTGCTAATCTAATGACAAATGTCTTCCCATCATTTTGAGAAAGAAAGGCTTTTCCAGAGTCCCCCTGTTCTGCTGCAGCAGCACTATGCTTCACAAATGCCAGCTCAAGTGTTTGAATGCCAGCATGATGCTTGAATTTTGTCAGATACTGGGAAGTGACATGTTGGTGATTTAGCAATGCCTCCAATACCAGAGTGTGTCAGACAGTTTAAAAGGCAGCAACTGTCTTGCAACATCTTAAACGGAAGTGGGGCCAAAACTCTGCATCAGACAGACTTCAAACTGGGCAATACATGAGAAAGAAATTGGGACCTCTCATCCCATCTGCCTGGGCTTACACCACCAAACTCAGGCAAAGTGCCTTTCCTCTTATGCTCCCAAAGCTCACAGCAGGTTGGCAGCAGGAAAAGGACAGAGACCATTCAAAATCATTGCGTTCAAAAGTGACACAGTTCTCCCAAGGCAAAAGACTACAATCCAGGTCGTGCTGACAATTTAATACAGCCTTCTTGCCTTTCAAAGCTACTCTCTATAGACACATTATTTGTGATGAGACATGGAATAAAAATACAAGCCAGTCCCTACATCCTCCAGCCTCCTTCTCTGCTCTTTCTCTTGCTCGATCCGTTTCTGCCGCTCTGTCAGCAGCTGCTTCTTGTACTTCTCCTGGTCCTTCAGCTGCTGCTGCTGGCGATGAGGATCAGAACGGTTTTTGTTCTCCTGCTGCAGTCTCAGAAATTCACGGCGGAGAGTTGACTCCCCTGGGAGATTAACTATGGAGCTGAAACAAAGGGGAGGTTTCTACATGACTAAACAGAGTATAAAAGAGAGAACACAAGGTGCATTGGGAATTATTTGATGTCCTGTGTTAGCAAATTAAGATGTTACAATAAATCTCCAGCATGTTGACTATGCATCTGCATTTATTGTGCTAAAGAACAACCTGAAGCTGATTATCGGGTCCTTCATTTGCGAGTTTCCTCCCTATTGCAGGGGAACTGAGAAAGAGCATATTACAGACATCTTATACTCAGCAGTTATATCTGATAGCTACAAAACAGTTAACACTAACAGAGGGGATACAAGAAATAAGGGATGCAGAACAAGTTAAGAAAGCCATTCTGGCTGAGGAGGGCTGCCTTCAGTGAGAACATCTTGGGCAGTCAAATTTTCTATTCCATTAATAAAATTAACCTTGGTTCTCCTTCATCTTCATTCAGCTCGTCATCTTCCTCCTCACTTCCACTGTAATCATAGTCCGTTTCTTCTAAAAAAGAGAATAATAAACAAACCCCAGAGGAAAGATACTATTATGTAAGGTATGATCTGAGCACTCAACCTGCA